GTGATTATTGCAGATTGTTTTTGTGTTGGTATCATTCAATAGTTTTTTAATAGTTCTCTTGGCTAGACGATTCATATTTGTACCAATCGTCACTACTTGATTATTCTAATTATAAAGGTGTTTGAACTCATTTGAATTTCCCTTTTCTGTTTGGTTTTGTAGGCAAGCCTGTTCCTATGCCATTAAATTGGCATTGCTTTATATTTCTGGCTAATTGGTCTATTTCTTGTTGTGATAGATTACTTTGGGGTGGTCTTATGAATGGTGTTGGTTCTGGTAATATCATAGGTATTTCTGTTGGTCTTGAAATTGGTAATTCTTTATTCTTATTCTTATTGTTTCTTCGTTTTCTTTTAATTCTTCTAATGCAAAGGATGATTACTGTTATGATATGGATACTATAGTTAATATAGTTCCTGATATTTCAATTATTGTAAAAAGATTATTATTAGAGTCTAGAGTTGGAGTATTAGTTATAGATGGTTCTGTTTTAGTTGGGATTGGAATTGATGAGCTTGGCGTTGGAGTGGTTACTGTAGTTGTTGATGTTACTAATGTAGATGTCGGAGATGATACTATAATAGGTATAGATATTACTATTTGGGATAATATATTTCTTAGATATATTGATACTATGAGTATGAAAATAAGTATTTTGATATTGATTTTCATGTAAAGTTTCTTGTGTATCAAAGATTACTTGTATTATTATTCAATAGTATATGTGTGTTCCAGGGTAGCTAGTCCTATTATTCACAAGAAGTTCTAGTCTCTTTATTCACTAGAGTTAACCTTCTTCATTATTGAATATAATTAAGATATTTCAATTAAGAATTCTTTTCAAGTTTCTTTATACGTTGTATTGTAAAGTATGTTTTATATTTGTTTGAGATACGTTTAGTTTATTTGTTAAATATGGTTTTTATTTAATAATATAGTTAACAGTTATAAATTTCGATAGATAATAGTTTGGCTTGCTATCAAAGCTATTAATATGAGTGGTGTTGTTATTATAGTCAATAATATTGCAAGAATAAATATTGCTATTGAATCGCTATGGGTTTCTAATATATAGGTTAAAGTTATTAAGAGTTTCTTATATCTAATCAATAGATATTTAGGTATTTAGGGATTTTTGGTTTCTTTGCACTTTTGTTATTTTTTCTATCGCATGTACAAAGTTTCTTGAAGATAAAATTCAAGTGTTTAAATATCTTTTCGGATAATTTAAATAATACATTCTGAGAATAATATTAATTTCTAAACTAACTATTTTATTTCTATACTATCATATAAGCTATTATTTTCTAATCATGAAAATAAACTATATAAGTTAAAGATTAGTTGCTATCGTGTGTTAACACATGGTTTTATTAAATAATACAAACGATTAGTATTTGTTTCTTGTTTCGAATTAATTTGCTGTCGGACATTTTATACTTCAACGTATAAATATTTCTTCTTTACGTCAGACTTTGGCATATTAATCTTCGTTGTTGTCTTTTTCACATTCTATACATTTTCCAATAATATAATTCTTATGATTATCATATTTTGATAATCAGCATTGATCATCCAGTGATCAATGATCATCTGTTTCATTCAGATGGTTTCTTGGTTAGATTTAACCTTTTCTATAAAATGATTTTCTGGTGATTTCTTTGTATTTTCCTGTAGACGTAGTTCACTGCTGGAGCCTGACTTGATAATATGTAAACCACCTTACCCGTCAAGTGCCCGACTAGAGATTGTCAAAACATTTGCCACGTATCTCTTTTTTAGAAGAATCTACTTAAGCAAATTAAGAAAAAAGATTCTTGCATTTTTAAAAATATTTAAATCTATTTGAATTATTTTTTAAATATTTAATATTTAATATTTATTTGGTAGATTAGACCCATACTCCTCTTTTACAAATTCACTTCTTATAAATACTTTTTATAAAATGTCTTGTGATATGTATGCCAGATATTCAATTAATCGCTGTTCTAGAAATTTTATTTTAAAATTATTTATTATTTTATTTATTTATTTTATTTAATTTTTTTTTTTTATTTATTTATTTAAATTTATTTTTTATTATTAAATAATAAATTATTTTTAAAATTATTAAAAAAAAAAATTAAAAAAATTTTTATCGTTTATTGTAATAAATTAAATATTTATTTTATTTTATTGAAATAAAAAAAATATCATAGATATGAATAAATCTAAAAACTAAAAATCTAATGTATTGTCAGTTCATAATTTTTTACTACTACCTAATAATAAAATATATAAATAAAATATGTTATAATAAAATACACTATAGCTTTTATTCTTTCATTCATGATATGCTATAACTTCTTTCATTTATGACCATAATACTAACTGCTAATAACTGCAAATCAATTAGAGTGAAAGCAAAATTCAACATTCAAGAAACTATTATGATGCAATATTTCAATTTTTTTTTTGTCAAATAATCTCTTGATCAAACTTGTATCTAAAATATTCCAAGGACCTGTTACTTAAAATTAATAAAAAGTATGACCCGATCAATTTTTTATATATAGATAATCTGTTTTTACATATAAAAAAATTACTTAGGCTATAATTTTTTATTATATATAGACAAATATATATATATATATATAGACAACTAGTTTTTTTATATATATAAAAAAATTTATATACTAACAATCTATTGAATAAAAATCATAAAATCAGCATATTTTTTGCTCCATTAAACTAAATCATGTTCGATATCTATCATAATCTCTTGATAAACTTTAAACTTATTTTTTATTATCATAAAACAAAAAAAGTAATCTCCTAATCATTTATCATAATCTCTTGATTAAACTTGTATCTAGCATATTCCGAAGACCTGTTATTTTTTTTTTATACTTAAAATTAAAATACAATCTAATTAGATTTTTATATATAAATAACCTGTTTTTACATATAAAAAATTAATCAGATTACAATTTTTAATATATGAACAACTGGTTTTTTACATATAAAAAATTAATTAGATTGCATTCTTTAAGTCGTATGCTATTTTCACCTTGATATTTCAGAAATACCTGTTATTTACAAAAGAAATATATATAAATTGATCATGTTGTATTTTTATCTTGTACTATTTTTCTTTTATCAATAACTTGAATACTTGTTATTTATAGAAGAAACAAAATCAAATACAACTATATAGTATTTTCATAATCCTTCACACAGGCATATTTTTATAATTAATAATAGAGTATCTTTTTGCGTAATTTTACAAAAGACTCATAGTTAAATCAATTGGGTTTAAATTGCCACCTAAAAAATTACAGATTATATGATTCAAGAATAACGATACATTAATTATCTTTTATATATATATTCGATTTATACATATCTGTTACAAAATTCTTTTATATTGAGTAAAAAAAAAATTTACATGCATATTTGAAACTGGCATTATGATCTTTATCATTTTATTATCAAACAGTACATTCTTTTTTTTCTAATTTACTGCAACCAAAATATATTGTGATTACGGTCCTTCCAAGTTTTTGAAATTTGTCTTTGTCATTTAAAATTACTATATTTCTCAACAAATTTACGCATTGGTTCAAAGTTTTTATCAATAATATTGAGCCACTTAATTCCATTCAGGTTTGTTTTATTTTCTTCAAGTATTTTTTTTTGCTGAATCGAATAGTTCAAAAATTTTTAGTTTACCTTTCTTAAATAAAATTAGGTCTTGATCCTTGGTATCAATTTCAACAATTTTAACTGTATTCTCTTCATTTAAATTGATAGTTTCTTGCTCTTGAATATAACTTATTGAAGATTCCTTACAATTAATTGTCTATTATGGACAATTAATTTACAGGTTTCAGGGTTGAAATTTTCAACTAAAGTATATATATATATTTGGTAAATCAGAAAATGCGTTTTCTTCTTTAACTTTTAGAAGGGGATAAGGTTCTTGTTGGATAACCTTAAATTAAATAAGTTATTATAATAAAAATGGTAACAACAAATACTACAATAATCAGGCCTTACTTTTTTAAAAAAATCTGGTTCTACAGGATTACACATTTGTGCTAAATGTTTACAAATATAGAACTAGTTTAAAAGAAAACTTAAACATAAACAAATCCAATGAGAAGAATCAGTAATATGATTTGAATTCTTATTATTATTAATCACTTGATCAGTCAATTTTTTCCATTTAGTTCAAAAATCTTCATGCCATTTTGTTATACAATGCTTATCATATAGCAATTGCAATTGATTAATTTGTCATGGGATAACTTTAGAAACAATAGTATAAACAGTTATACATAATTAAAGTTTGAAAAAAAAATTATGTTTTAAAACATGCCAATTTCTTTCAATAGCTATAGTGCTTCTTAATAAATTAACTTGTGTATTTGATGTATGCACCCAAAGCTTCTACATTTTGGGTTGATACCATTCAAGCCACATATATAGTGTATTGACTCGATTATGTTATATTCGATCATTGATCGATTTAGTTCAATAATCGAGCACCAATTAAGGGGCTCGATCAACAATAGGTCAATCAATAATTGATAGTGCTAATCGATCAAATGAATATATATTTGATCGACTAAAAGTTTTTTGATTATATATATCAGGAAGATAACAATTTATGCGCAATAGTTACCTTTCTAAAATATAATCTTTAAATTTAATAACTTTCATATTTTAGTCTATATTAATTATAACATAATCAATTAAATAAAAGCCATTTTATTTTTCTATTTGATAAATATTTACGACACAAAACTTATATATGCTAGACAAAAATAATAAAAATAAAAGAACTCAAAAGTTGAGCCAAAACAAATAAAATTTTTGATACTAGTATAGCAAGAAATTTGGTTTATCGGCAGTTTCAAACCCGTAATGCTATAAGTAGTGATGTCTTTCCAAACATTTATTCAATCCTCAAATGTCTATTATTGCTAGGAAAATATCCTATACCGTTGAGTATAGCTCTACTTCTCGTCCCTCGAAAAGTCAGCAAATAGCTTTTCTTCCTTTTCTGACGAAGTCGCTTCTCTTCGCTCTCAAGTAGACTTCATGTCCAGCTTTCTCTTGTTCCTTTGGGATGAGTATGGTGATGACTTTTCTTCCTCTTACAAAGACGTATCTTGATTCTCTAGAGATGTTTCATCAGTAAACCCAACGGCTTGGGCTATAAGCAACAAAATGATAGATAGAGTAGACTGAAATGAGGAAAGGGGAATGGAGTATAGGATGGAGGATATATTTTAAAAAAAAAGGAACTAAAAAAGTGAAGGTCAGTATAATTGGTAATAAAATTTTAATTTAATACCTACTACGGGACCTCAGTTTGTTTTTATTATTTTTAATAGATTGCAATATTCAGATAAAATATACAGTAGAAAGCAAGGTTAGTTCTTTATTGTATTAAGTCTTAAAATTTAAAGATAATTCAATATTTATAGACTAATGGTTCTAATATTTAAATTGCAAGAGAAAAGAAGCGATCAATCTGTTTCGTGTTCATGTGCCCCACGTGATTATCGTTATAAAGTGAAAAGTAATAAATCAGATGATAATTATGTTATAGTTATTGTATGGGTCTGATGTAACAACCTGTGCGTCACCTTCACCCCAATTTTAATATTATTGTCATGAAATATTAAATACATGCATTATATAACAGTGTAAATAAAAAAAAAATTTATCTATGATTTAAATCATAAATTCTTTCGTGCAAAATATCAAACAATTAAATCAGAGT